TAGAGACAGGGTCTTGCTCTGTCACTCAGATTGGAGTGCAGTGGCGTGATCATAGCTCACTGCAGCCTCGACCTTCTGGGCTCAAGTAATTCTCCCACCTCAACCTCCCAAGTAGCTGACTACAAGCACACACCACTGCACCTGGCTATAGTGAATATTCTTATAGATATTTCTTTTCTTTTCTTCTTTTTTTTTTTTGAGACAGAGTCTTGCACTGTTGCCCAGACTGGAGTGCAGTGGCACGATCTTGGCTCATTGCAACCTCTGCCTCCTGGTTCACGTGATTCTCCTGCCTTAGCCTCCCAAATAGCTGGGATTACAGGTGCCCGCCACCCCACCTGGCTAATTTTTTGTATTTTTAGTAGAGATGGGGTTTCACCATGTTGGCCAGACTAATCTCGGACTCCTGACCTTGTGATCTACCCGCCTCAGCCTTCCAAAGTGTTGGGATTCCAGGCGTGAGCCACTGCACCAAGCCTCTTATAGATATTTCTCAGGAAACACGTGCAGGTGTTTTTCCAAGATAGGTACCAAAAAGAAAGAAAAAGGCGATGCACATCATACATTTTAATAATTGCTGACAAACTGCCCTCAAAAAAGGTTGTACTAAGTTACCATATCATTAACAGTACGTTTCCCCACATCCTTGCCAACACTTGATATTACCAATCCTTAAAAATTTTGCAAACTGCCATGATGGGGACACTAAAAGAAAAAAAAACTTTTTTTTTTTTTTTGTGCTCAATTTACACCAGGTGTGGTGGTTCACACCTGCAATCCTAGTACTTTGGGAGGCTGAAATAGGAGAACTGCTTAAGTCCAGAGAGTTCAGACCAGCCAAGGTAACATAGTGAGACTTCATCTCTACAAAAAACTTAAAAATTAGCTGGACATGGTGGTGCACACTTGTGGTCCCAGCTACTTGGCAGGCTTGAGCCCGGAAGTATGAGGCTACAGTGAGCTGTAATTGCACCACTGCACTCCAGCCTGGACAACAGAGTGAGACTCTGTCTCAATAAAAGATAATCTTTCAATTTTATGAGAGAAAATAATATATTTTAATCTGCATTTTGCTGGTTACTGAGTTTCAGCATTTTTTTCATGTTTATTTTTGTTATTTGCATTTACTGCTTTATTTTATTTTTTTTTTTGAGACAGAGTCTCGCTTTGTTGCCCAGGCTGGAGTGCAGCGGTGCAATCTCGGCTCACTGCAACTTCTGCCTCCTGGGTTCAAGTGATTCTCATGCCTCAACCTCCCGGGTAGCTGGGACTATAGGCGCGCACCACCATACTCGGCTAATTTTTGTATTTTTAGTAAAGATGGGGTTTCATCATGTTGGCCAGACTGGTCTCAAGCTCCTGGCCTCAAGTGATCCTCCCACTGAGGCCTCCCAAAGTGCTGGGATTACAGGTGTAAGCCACCATGGCATTTACTGCTTTCTAAATTATCTTTTCATATCCTCCTTTTCTATACAGTGGTTTGCCTTTTTCTCAGTGATTTAAGAGGTTTTTTTCCCCATATCTTTTGGATATTAATCTTTTGTTATACAGTCTCCCGAGTTTTTCTGGCAGCTTGTGTTTTGTTGAATAGATTATCAATTTTGATATTGTCAAATATTTTTCTTTGTGGCTCTTGGATTGTTCTTTGAAGCCCTTTAGTACCTTATGTTCTCCTATATTTAAAAAATTCTTTAGATTTTTTTTTAAAGTTTAGTTATTCAATCTATGTGGAAATTAATTTTGTGAACAGTCTGAAGTACACTGACCTCATTTATTTTTCAAATGAATAACTAATTGTCCAAGCACTGTTTATTATTTCGCCTTACTGACTTCAAATGCAATTTTCCTTATATATATATATGAACTTCCCATACGTACATGAGACTGTTTCTGTACTCTCCTGTTCCATTGCCTATGCTTACCTCAATACCATACAGATTTAATTTTGTGGTTTTATAATATACTTTGATGTAGGTAAAATCCCATCCCCTCTATTTCATTTATAATATAAAGTTCTTAAAAACTATTCTTCATTGTTTAGCTGCCTGATTTTCACTGCCTACTTCCAGATGACAGGGTTCCAGATGACAAAGAGGTAAAATAAAAATTACCCATAGGCAAGACAAAGGAGCATGGGAAAATGAGGGGAAGGAGACAAAGAAAAAAAGAGAAATGCTCTTAAGATGGGACAATTTTTTCCCCTGCACTTCAAGAAGCAACTTTATGTATTAATATTATGCCACATTCAAAGTAAGGTAGATCTTGTGTGTTCAGGATATTTCAGTCACTGTCTAAATCAAAGGTGTGTCTTTCATTGCTAGCTAGTTACCAATGGCAGAAACCATGTAAACGAAAAATGTGAATGGATGGGAATAGAAAGAAACATGAATCAATCAATGTGAGAACATGAACAAGAACTAGAGAGAATAGAGAAATGGTGAGAGAATAACATACTTGTATTCTTGTGGAACCAAATGTCAGGAAGTCAAACCTCTGAGCTTAGTGCATTCATTGTATCCTGGTTTCTTTGTTACCTCTGTTTACAGTCACTTGATGTTTTATATGGAATACAGAGAGGTTGATTCTTTACTCGATAATTGAAACAACAGAGAAAGGAAAAGTACTATTAGGAATTGTAGTAATGAGTAACAGAAAATATCATTTACTTGGAGATAGGTTGGTAAGCATTAAAAAGAACTGAGTGAGCCAGGATCAAGCCACTGGACTACAGCCTGGGTAACAGAATGAGACTCTCTCAAAAAAAAAAAAAAACAAAAAAAACTGAACAAAAAAGTGTTAGTAAAATGCGCACACTAAACAACATAACCTTTAAATCTAATCATTGTACGTAATAAGATTATATTCAACTTAAAATTGTATCTGTTTTCATTGTAAAGCTAACATTACACAAGTGGGAAAAGCTGTCTCCTAGGCAAGTGTGGTTCTCAGTCAACAGTTAATTAAATTACTTACAATGAATTTAGTTGTTCCTGGTTGAAAAGACATGTTGATAGGGCATGGTGATTATCAAGGGACTTGTGTCCAATGCGGTGTGGCCAAAGTTTCAGGGCTCAGTAAACAGGAACAGGCAATAATAAAATCCTTTAATAACCACTCACACAAAAATATCCTAATTTTTTTATGGTGCCAAAAGGCAACATTGTGATTTACTGATCTTCTTTTAACTTGCCAATTTGCCTTATGTTTAAAATCAGACTATTTTTCCTCCTGAAGCAACAATTGGGCAAGTTTTATTTGACTCAAGAAGTATAATAAAAATGCATTTTACGGCCATTTCTTCCCTTGCTTCAAGTAGGTTTACGGTTAGAAATACACTCTTAATTCCATTTACCATAATGAGATTATTTACCATTACCAACAGCAAACGAATGAAAGATACATTTTCTAGAGCAATGGAACACTAATATTTTAGTACTCTAGTTGTCCCTACTGAATTGGCATTTGAAAATGTTCACAACCTGTCAGCTTCATGAAACCTCACAATCATTGGCTTCAAACATTGTTGTAAACTTGAAAGTGTAGCTTGTGATAAACAACAAAAAAAAAGAAAAAGAAAATAGCATTAACCATTTTACGGATCAGATGAATTAACATGAACTGCACGGCAAGAATTCTGCAGGTGGAGCTCCTCCGAGAACGGTGCTAAGGAACCTCCTGCCGAGTTCCTCGCTAGCTGCTCGCTCGCCGCGTGGTCCTCGGCCCGGGACGCGCGCTTCCGAGCTGGTTCCGCAGCGGGCGCCGGAGAGAGGCGGCCGCGCCCGGACGCTCTGATGCGGTTGCGTACGTTTTCCGCGCTTCCCGCTCTCCACCGGTTGGACCGAGGCTTTTAAACTGCCATCTGCTCCCGAGTCCGGCCTCCTCCTCCGTCTGGTGCCCCCTGGTGCTCGTCCCCTCCGCATCCTGAGGAGCTGCGAGGAGCACAGGGGTCCAGGGAGACAAGGATGCTTTCAAGACAAACATGCCATGGCGGCGAGCCGCAGGGATCCACATTTCCCGGGCCCAGAGCCCTGGCAGACGTTGCCTGTGGACACTGAGGAGCTCTGGAGAAAGAGGGGGTGTTGTTTCACGGAGCCACCCCGCAGAAGAAAGGTGGAAAATAAGTTTCAACCCACTACAAAGGCAGAAGTCAGCCCAGCCCCCCAAGTGTGGCCAAAGACCCATAGATCCGTAGACCTTATCTTTTCTTGAATCCACCGCTCCCCCGACCCCCCCTTTTATTATCTTTCAGGCAAAGCAAAGAGAGAGTTCACTAGGATCCCCGATTTCAGTCAGGCAGCCCTTTTTTGAGAGCCAGAATATCCGTGTCGGGCGGGAGCTGAGAATGTGGCCTTAATTGTTGAGGGGAGGAGGATGGAAGATAATCCTCCCTGTCTCCTCCTCCCATCCATTTAATCAATATTAATTTCATGCACCATCTTCACAAAGTTTCTTTTCCCCTCCTCCGACTCAGAACTCAGGCTCCGGTTATCCTGCTTTACCCTTCCCCTCCACCCCCACGGCCCTGCAGTCACTCAACACTACTGCGGCTCTCTCCATTAAAGATGAACAACAGATCATTTTTCATTGCATGGCAACCCTAAGAGCTCTCTCGCTTAGCAGAGCATGATGGGAGTCTTTCCATCTCCCCCCCCCACCTTCCTCTTCTTTTTTTTCCCTTCCTTCCCTTCTTCCACAATTAATCCCTAAATAATGATTTTCCTAAGCTCGCGCGGACTTCAGGATGGGGTTGAGCGACCCGCGATGACGCTCCCATCAGCCTTTCAGAAGGGACGGTTTCTAAAGAAAACTACAACTCCCACGAGGCATCAGGCTACAGCAACCGCGAGGCATCACGGAAGTCGTAGGCACTTTTCTCCTAGGTCGCGTTCATCTCCTCCAACCCGTAAACTCTAAGTCCCAAGGTGCCTCGGGGCTGGCACGCCTGCGCAAAACCCCGGAGCGAGGTGGGGGGTGGGGCTGCCCCGGGCGGCGGGGGGCGGGATCCGAGCGGGCTGTGTGGAGGCTTCAGACTCCCGGCGCCATTTAGCGCGGAGAGTTTCCCGGGCGGACGCGGCTCCTCTCTCGGCCCCTCCGCACCCCCGTCTTCGGTGACAGAAGGCGCCTGGTGGGGGTGACTGCTCTTTTCTCTCCCTGTTCCCCCTCACCCAGTCCTCTAGGTCTCCTCTCGCCTCAGAGAAGCAGCGGAGCTCGGGCCCCGCGGTGAGCGGCCCTCCCCTCCCCGCCGTTCCCTCCGCCGTCAGCCCCCGGCACCGGCCCGGGAGGAGGCGGGTTCGCCAGGCCCGGGGCGGGCGGGGAGGCCTCGGGGAAGGGGGGGCCCGCTCCTCAGGCGCCGAGGCTCCGAGGCTCCGGCCCTTCGCCTCGGGGCGATGGGCGACCTGTGAGGCCGGACCCATCGCGGGGGGCGCGCGTGGGAGGAGGCGGCCGCCGAGTGACCGGAGCCGGGCCGCGGCCTTCCCTCGCTCGCCGCGGCCCCTCCCACTCCTGCCCCGGGGCTGCCACCGCGCGGGCGTCGGACCTGGTCCCGTGCTCGCGGCGCCGCCGCCCTCTGGGCCTAGCCCGCCCGGCTCGGCGAGGGGCAGTGGGAGCCGCGTCCGCCGCCTCCGCCTCGACTGGGTGCCGGCCCCGGGCCCTCCCCTCATGACTGCGGCGCCTCCGCTGCCGCCGCCCGCCCGGCCGCCGCTCGCCGCAGGATGGATGCGGACCGTGCGGCGCTAAGCCCCGCGGCCCCGCTCCCGACCCACCCGCCTTCGAGCCCTCCTCGCGAGCCGCAGCAGTCCCGGTGCCAGCGGCCCGCCTCGCCCTCGCCGCGGCCGCTCAGCGCTGAGTGAGGCGTCCCCGGGTCGGCGCGAACCCGCCCGCCGCGGTGCCCTGCGGACCTCTGCGCGGGCGGCTCGGCCCTCACGCCCTTTCCACCCGCGACTCCGGGCCCGCTCGCCTCGCGCCAGCGAACCGACCATGTCTGGCGGCGCCGCGGAGAAGCAGAGCAGCACTCCCGGCTCCCTGTTCCTCTCGCCGCCGGCTCCTGTCCCCAAGAATGGCTCCAGCTCCGATTCCTCCGTGGGGGAGAAGCTGGGGGCCGCGGCCGCCGACGCGGGGACCGGCAGGACGGAGGAGTACCGGCGCCGCCGCCACACGATGGACAAGGACAGCCGCGGGGCGGCCGCGACCACCACCACCACGGAGCACCGCTTCTTCCGCCGGAGTGTCATCTGCGACTCCAATGCCACTGCGCTGGAGCTCCCCGGCCTCCCTCTTTCCCTCCCCCAGCCCAGCATCCCCGCGGTTGTCCCGCACAGTGCCCCACCGGAGCCCCACCGGGAAGAGACCGTGGCCGCCACCGCCGCCTCTCAGGTAGCCCAGCAGCCTCCAGCCGCTGCCGCCCCTGGGGAACAGGCGGTCGCGGGCCCTGCCCCCTCGACTGTCCCCAGCAGTACCGGCAAAGACCGCCCAGTGTCCCAGCCTAGCCTTGTGGGGAGCAAAGAGGAGCCGCCGCCAGCGAGAAGTGGCAGCGGCGGCGGCAGCGCCAAGGAGCCGCAGGAGGAACGGAGCCAGCAGCAGGATGATATCGAAGAGCTGGAGACCAAGGCCGTGGGAATGTCTAACGACGGCCGCTTTCTCAAGTTTGACATCGAAATCGGCAGAGGCTCCTTTAAGACGGTCTACAAAGGTCTGGACACTGAAACCACTGTGGAGGTCGCCTGGTGTGAACTGCAGGTAAAGCCCCACCTACTTCTCTATTTGAAGGTCCTTTGGATCCCACATTTGGCTTGGCGAAGCCAGTTGATCGAGTTCACCCTTCACTTGGCATTCTCTAACTGTTGGACTCCGAGTGGGAGGGGGAGGTCAACTTTTGAAAGGGGTTGAAATTAGGAGAATGTGGAGCATGTGCCTCGGTGTTGGGATAGGATAAGAATTACTGGTAGCCAGAGGGATTTGCTACCGGGCAGGGGTGGTGAAGGTCATCTTAGTATAAACGAATTGTCTCCTGGCTTAGTGTCTGGCAAGAAACTTGGAATGAGTGGGGAAGTTGAAAGTACAGATGCTTCTTCCTCTGTGCGTTTCAGTCTCATCAAAGGCTCTGCAGTGATGAGCTGCCTCTGGGCGTAGAAGCGTGTTTCCATTCCTGAGATCAGGCTGTTCTTTTTAAATGAGAACGACCTTGTACTTTTGGATATATCTTACTTGATGGTTGCACAGGCATTTAGTATAAAATAAGTATTAAAAAAGACTCTTCTCTGCCCCTTTTGGATGAATGCCTTGGCAGTAGTGACGTGCAAAGAAATGTTTGATGTTGTTCTACCTAATGATGCTTAAGCCTTACAGTAGCAGCATTGCTCTGACATTGTTCGTTAAACTAACGTCTTTCAGCCCATTCACTCTACAGCGAATAGTACAGGAGCCCATGCAAAATTGTGTAAGTGCTTTGAGAGTTGTAATGTCATCATCATTATTTTAATCTTATAAAATATTTTTAAGCTAAACTTTCCCAAGAGTCCAAAGGAGTCGCAATACTTCCTTTTTTAACCTCTAGTGGTGTAAATAATGGTGTGTCATTCTGGTTGACTAGTACATTCTAGGTTTAAACAGCTGAGTTTGCGCTACTTGTTGCTTCACTAACTGAAGCAGCTTGCTTGAATGTTGCCCTGACTGGGCATAGGTGAACATAGGTTATTAGTAGGAGCGGGGTTATACTGAAGGAAAAAAGCCACATTATGCATACATAAAAAAATGTCATTAGACCAGCCTGATACAGGATATGAAAATAACTGAATGATCTTGGAACTTGTTTTATCCGTGAACTAATACGTTAACATATAACACTTTGAATGTCAGGTTCCAAATAATTAAGGCCATATCAAATGTGAAATTAACACAGCATGTGGAAGTAACCTTAAAAACTAAGAAGTTCTTTACGAACATAATCATTTCTTAACTTTTACAGTTAATGATGTAGAACTTCTAAGGTAGTGTGAAATTAAAACTACTCATTAATTTTATAGTATTTTAGAATTGGAAAGGTGACAGATCTTAAAAAAAAAAACAACGAAAACTATTCATTTTCGTCAGTCATACTCAAAAAACTTAGTCTGGGCCAGGCGCGGTGGCTCACGCCTGTAATCCCAGCACTTTGGGAAGCCAAGGCGGGTGGATCACGAGGTCAGGAGTTTGAGACCAGCCTGACCGACATAGCGAAACCCCGACTCTACTAAAAATACAAAAATTAGCCAGGTATGGTGGCACGCGCCTGTAATCCCAACACTCGGGAGGCTGAGGCAGGATAATAGCTTGAGCCCGAGAGGCGGAGGTTGCAGTGAGTGGAGATCACACCATTGCACTGCAGCATGGTGACAGAGCGAGACTCTGTCTCAAAAACAAAAACAACTTATGTCTGATTCCTTTTGGTTTACAGGCAGAAATTTACAGAATTTACATTTCTTTCTTGTACTTTCGACGCCTATTGCTACTGATGCTGGAATTTTATTCTTCCATTATAGTTTTATATTTGAATAGGTGCTTTTTAACAATTTTTTTTTTCCTTAACCGGTTACCTTACTTTTTTGAGACTGGACCCAATTACTTGTTGAGCACTTTATGAATTAATTTTGTTAGTTTTAATTATTTCACTTCTGAGACTTTTCAGAATGTGATGTGTGTTTTCCCTTTATCACCTGGAATTTTCTGATACTTTATTATCTTGGAACTGATAATACAGTGAAAAAAACTTAATTTGTCTAATATCATGATACAAACTTTGTCTAAGCTTCTCAGGTTTTCTTAGAACTGGTAGCTTTTTGGATTTTTAATTATCTAGGCATAGGCATGACTAAACTAAAGAAAATCTTATATTGCATATTATTTTTGAGTCATTTCCGGATTTGGCTGCAGAACTAGATGAATCCTAGCTTATTAAGTGGTACCTGATTTAGAAACTTCCATGTCATTTGTCTGTGCTTCTATAATTTTTTGTTTTGATTTTGAAAAGATTATCCTATCTGAAAAATCCTTTATAGCAGTAGTTAGGAAGTATTTTTGGTTTTTTGACCAGGACAGTTGCACTATATGCCTAATAAAGTATTCACTGGGTCAGTGTTTGAACTTTTATCTTTGGAGCCAAATTAAAGGACAAGCCCAAGGGATTACTAAAGCATTGGGAAGATAGAAACTTTTTCGCTAAATGTATCCTTTTAATATACACATATTTCTGAAGCAAGACAGGAGAATATTGTGTTAAGTTGTTGAGTTAAAAATCTTAGTGTATTAAAACTGGAAGAAATCTTAGGTTACCCTGCCCAGCTATTTATTTGACAAATAAGAAAAGTGAAATCATAGAGCAGGTAAATAACTTGATTAGGTAGATGAAGAACAAAAGCTAGTTAGGATCTAATAATTTGGGAGATGATAAAGTATTTGTAGTCCAGTAGATGACTAATAAGTAATTTCAAATGAAGCAATATTGTTTTGGTGTGGAAGTGGCTGTTGGATTTCTGGAGGAATCTGGTCCTATACCCATGGCAAATTTCAGGCTTCTGTTTTGGGTATTGATTTTCATCACTTCAAATTGAGATATAAATAGGCTTTCATGGATGGGTGAATGTGGTATACAAATCAAGCTGTTTTCTGCCAAGCTTATTTTTTAGAGTCATGTTATGCTATGCACTGCTCTTTAGTAAAACAAGCATCAATTCTTTTTTTTTTTTTTTTTTTTTTTAAAAAAAAAGGAGACGGAGTCTTGGTCTATCTCCAGGCTAGAGTGCAGTGGCTTGATCTCAGCTCACTGCAACCTCCACCTCCTGGGTTCAAGCGATTCTCCTGCCTCAGCCTCCCAAGTAGCTGGGAATACAGGCGCCCACCACACCCAGCTAATTACAAGCATCAATTCTTAGTAAATAATACGTAGATAATATTTTGACACCACAGGATCTTCAGTAATTACTGAGTTGTTTAAGATGCAGATTTTACCTGGTTTTATTAGACGAGTAGTGCACCTTAATTTTAATATTTGATTGTCTTGGTCAGAAAATACTACTGTTGGGCCTGACATTGATGCAGCTGGATGTGGTGGCTCATGCCTGTAATCCCAGCACTTTGGGAGGCCAAGGTGGGCGGATCACATGGTCAGGAGTTCGAGACCAGCCTGGCCAACATGGTGAAACCCCATCTCTACTAAAAATACAAAAATTAGCTGGGCATGATCCGTGCACCTGTAATCCCAGCTACTCGGAAGGCTGAGGCAGGAGAATCGTTTGAACCCGGGAGGCGGAAGTTGAAGTGAGTCTAGATCGCGCCATTGCACTCCAACCTGGGAGAAAGGGCGAGACTCCGTTTCAAAAAAAAAAATAAATAAATAAATAAAACATTGATGCACAGATTTAAGAATGATTTATTTTAAGCACCTTCCCCCCAAGTTGCCTTTGAAGAGTTCACATGATGCATTATATGTTGATGAGATTGTTTCCACATCTACCTGAAAAGGGAGCAAATCATATTTTTGTCGAAGCTCTAATATACTTAACTGCTTACTTTTCTCTGTCTTTTATTAAGATTATATGTCATGAGTATATGACATTAATATTTTGTGAAAAGTTTAGCAGTGTTACAGAAATGGGATGTGATTCTGTGATTAAGAAACCATAATTTGTTTGCTTGCTATAGTTCTTAAAATATCTCATTGAACTGAATCTCTCTATTTGAATGTTGGTGATTTTTTCCCCTCTTTTTAAATTTGTGCCACATTCCTTATTTTTTAGGATGAGTATCAGCATAACTTTCCATCTCAGGGAATAGTTTTTGGAGTTTGTTCTTAAATCCTCAAAGTCAGCGATTAGGAGTATTGGCAAAATTTTTTCTCTTACCTTTTTTCTGACCCATGGTAACACAGTCTGAGAAGTAATCTACAAACCTGGAAAGAGGTTGTTTTTGTGTAAAACAAACTAGGAATATATTGTTGCTTGGTGACAATTCATTTCTTGACATTCAAATTCATTTAAAATTCATCTTATTCCACCAGCAGCTTATCAAAGAAATTCAAAAAAATAAAAAATATATGTATATAAATATAAATAAAATACATCTTAGTTTGTCCCTATGGAAACATTTAATTAAAACTGGGCTCTCGTTTTCAGAAATCATCCTAAACCTGTTATTTGGGTTTTCTGGTAGTTTTTACACTTTTTTAGATAAAGCTGTAAAAGCAGCAAGAGTAGCTATACTCAATTATCGTTTCTGAAAATATTTAGCATACTATGAAATAATTCATAATTATAATTAGTACACCTTTGCTATACCAGTTCTGTAAATTATGTTGATATATATTGCATTTTATTTGAGTTTTTTCTTTTATTTGTTTTTTGAGACAAAGTCTCACTCTGTCGCCCAGGCTGGAGTACAGTGGCTCGATCTCGGCTCACTGCAACCTCTACCTCCCAGGTTCAAGTGATTCTCCTGCCTCAGCCTCCTGAGTAGCTAGGATTACAGGTGCCCGCCACCATGCCTGGCTAATTTTTGTATTTTTAGTAGAGACGGGGTTTCACCATGTTGGCCAGGCTGGTCTTGAACACCTGACCTCGTGATCTGCCCGCCTTGGCCTCCCAAAGCGCTGGGATTACAGGCTTGAGCCACTGTGCCCAGACGTTTTGTTTTGTTTTAAAACCTGGTCTGCAGGAGCAGGTGAGACTTAGCGTGACCTCAGTTTATGTTTGAAGAGGCCATTTTTC